AGCATTTTAAAAATATTTGAAACCCATATAATGTCAAATGATATGGATTGTATAAGTTTGAGCAAAATATTAAGGAGTTTGAGTGGTTACCATAGCAAACACTGTATATTTTTTTTTAAAAAACATTATTTTTCAATAATTTTGACATCAATATTGATAATTGTATTATTTAAAATCAGAAGCTATTGGGCAAGATTTTAAAAAATAAATAAAATCAAAATCTTTATAAATATGTCTTCTCTCAAGAGCTGGAAAGAGGTTCACTTTGAAAACATTCCGCGGTAGCAAATTGCCCATTTATTTGGCTGGTATTAAGACATACTGTAAATGATTATGAAGGAATTGAAATCTTGAAGTGAATTTTGTTTACAAGTCCAGAAGTTTGTGAATATTAAAAATTACATATCTTTACTCTTGTATATTTAACATATATTTTGTTGTCAGCAACCAAAATGAAAAACAAACCCCAAAAATGCAATTTGATATCATTTTGAATGGTACATGTTTTTACCATAATGAAACATGTGATCACTGATCACCCATTTTAAAGAAAGCTTTTAGCATCTAAAAGCAATGTGATATTAAATGTTATAAATTGTATAATTGTTATAAATTGCATAATTTTTAGTAAAATATTAAGAACTTTGGGTGGTTGCCATAGCAACTATATAATTTTAAAAATAACATACCGGTAACTGTTGTTTCACTATTGTTTGTTCTCTGCATGTATTGCTTACATGTTACAAGAAGATTTCTATTTTGTATATACATTATTTTCAAACAACATTGACCAATAAAAACAAATTATTTGTGGTGCATCTAAATAATTCTCTAAAACTTTTAAAAGAAGACTAGGTAGGTACCCATACGACAGTAGGCTAAGGTACATGTAGGCCTAGGGTGGCACTAATGCTAGGATTTTGACTGGAAAAATTGTTTTGTTTTTACAATGTAGGACTACTTTACATTTGAACATTTTCATTATTCCTCCAAATGTAGACTATCGTGGAGCAACTACCCTTTTTTTTATTCGTATATTTTCGTCAACAACATCAAATCTAGGCCTATTAAATTTAATAGTTTGTCGGCCTAGATTCAATTTGTTATTTTACTAGCTAACAAATAAAATTTGGTGTTAAGTACATATATTTTCCCAAAATTACAATGAATTAAACATATAAATAATTAGTATGAAAACCGATATATAATGATAAAATATTGAATAAATTGCCTTTGTAACAATCGGGTATCCGACTGACGGACTGTACGGCCATTTTATTGACTTACCACGGCACTAATCTCAAACGAAATGTTGTAAATCGTCAACGGAAATTCCAGAATTTAAATTATTTAAATTATTTTTTGTTGGTGTTATTTCTTTTGACATTCCAACTTTATTTGGGTATAACAATGGTCAGAAATCCGCAAGTCCGTTCCTTCAGACGAATACAATTAAGTCACAACCGGAAATGGTTCTCCCATACCGTGTTGATATTTTCCGATTTCATTTTCATTCGTGTGCACATTAAATACTTCAAATTAGGCATGAACAACAGAATTAAGTAATTTAGAACATTGAAATACTTGTCTATTTTTTTTAACGTAAAGGCGTGTGGTAGCTGAGAGGAAATTTCCCTTCGATAAAAGCGCGCGAATATGAGTCACGTGATGTAAACATTATGGACCCTTGTCGAGAGGCATTAAAATAATGGAATTATCTATCATTATGTCTTTTCAGGCAAGTCATTTATTCATATAACATAACGCTTATTTCATAAATGAACAATGAGTTGCATTTAGACGTAATTTACCGTGAATATTGGTCTTAGGAACTTGAAATTATTTTTTTCTTCACATGTTGAAATAACGTCATCACATGCCAAACTACGTTATAATTATTTTCCAAAACATTTCCCGATGTATACCATTTTCAAATGCCCGGCAAGGTCACTTAACATGCTCTGATTTTGTTGATTTTTATAGCATCGAAACGGCAATAAAACAAACTTTCGATCGGTCGGGGGTGCTATATTGGCAAATTGCCTCAAAAAAAGATTATGTGAATTGAAGTGTTCAACTTAAAAAAAAAAGCATGGTATTTTGAAATGTCAACAAAGCATCCCCGACCGATCGAAAGATCGTTCAATTATCTTTCTAATGATATTAAAATGAAAAAGAAATATTAATAATGAGTGACCTCGCCGAGCATTTGAAGTGGGGTACCCTCATTTAAAAACATGACAAAATTTTTCTGCGTAATGTCAAAACACGGGAAATTGACGTTTTTCAACTTGCGCTTATGAAATAAATATAACGAACACGTATATAAAAATTATATCAAACAAAAGAACATAATATCTGCTTCCAAAATATTTTTAAATTGTTACAAAAGATTAAGTAGCCACTGTTTGCCGTTAAGTTAAAAAAGGGTTACAAATCCGGAAAAAATGCGGGCAATGGAGCTGTGACACCTACTTTCATCAGAAAGATATAACCTATTTATCAATGACCTTTAAATTATCTTTAACATTCATTGATTAATCTACGTTTTGTCAAAATGTGTAACAACATGTATTGACCCATAGACAGATTTCAGAAGAAAGATTAAGTAAATCTATTTCTGAGATTCCATTACATACACAAGGTAGATTTCTCCTATTTTAAGATATTGGCTAAATTCAATATGATAGTTACAGACATTTTCTATCACTATGATTGATGTCATGCCAATGTTTTTGATCTTATAAGTATGCCACTATAGACTAACAATCCCGAAAAGTCAGTGTCACTAATAGCTCTACAGTTCCTAAAAATCTCTGGTAAAAGGAAAGCTGTTCCACCTTTAGGTTGCCAGGCAACGAAACATACGCCCACAGCAGCTAAATCGTCCGGGCAGTCAACAAGGGTTGTCGCATATTTTTACTTATTTCGGTAATGAAACATTTATAATACACTAAAATCTGATTAAGAGTAACAACTCATGAAGTAATTATCAGAAAACCATTAGAATTTGTTTGGTTTTTATAAAGTTCTGCCCCATGCTAACGTTTAGTATACGAAACTTTTAATATCATGGATTTAGCTGTTCAAGTCATAAAAATTCATTGAAAATCAATATACTTGTTCGTCTTAAACTCTGTGTATCAATCCGAAGTCAATCGGATGATAACTTTAGCCTCTAGAGCGTCACAAGATTTTTCAAAGTGATCAAGGGCCATAACCTTGGCAGTAATTATCGTATCTCGCTGAAAATCAATAGGCTTCTTTGTCTCATGACCTTAAACCCTGTGCATAAATTTAAAGTCAATCGGATATTAACTTTGGCCTCTAGAGCATCCACAAGATTTTTTGAAGTGAGCAAGGGCCATAACTATGGCAGTAATTATCGGAAATCGCTGAAAATCAATAGTCTTCTTCGTCTCATGGCCTTAAACACTGTATATAAATTTAAAGTCAATCGGATATTAACTTTAGCCTCTCAAGCATCCACAAGCAATTGTGGACGACGGACAGGGGCGCCGACAATATGCGACCACATTTCAATGTGGGTGTATAAAAACAAAATGAAATATAGATCTGTATTTTAATCAGATTGATGATGTCCCAATCATGTTCGATTGGGTTCAAATCACGAAACATTGCTGGCCATGGAATTCGAGTGGCAGCATTATTTGCCAGATGTTGGTTTACAGCAAGTGAACGATGAGGTTGTGCATTGTCATCCATGAACAAGGGTCATGTGGCAAGTCTGTGGTCAACAAAATGATCAATATTTACAGGATCCAGAACCTCCTGAATGTAGCGAGCACCTGTGAGTGAACCTTGTATAGTCATCAAATCCAATCTACAGTTGTAGGAGAAACCTCCCCAAACCATTACGGATTCCATGCCAAATGGTACTCTTGGCAAAATGTTCCTGGGGGCAAGATGTGCATTCCTACTCCTCCATACACGACGGGCTCTCCTATCAACAGCATGCAGGAGGAAACGACTTTCGTGCTCAAGTGTATACTCCTCTATGATCTTAGGTGTCACCTCTGCCTGTGCTCACACCATAACCTACCCTGACGCTTGTGGTGATTTGTTGACACCTGATGACACTTCTGGCTCTTAATCCAGCAGTTTTGAGGCGGTTTCTCACAGTCTGGTTGCTCAAGTCGCGATGAGGTAACCAGGCCTTTTTCACCAGATGGCTTATTACGGTGTAGTGAAAGTGAGTTCTTCTTGCAATTTCCTTGTAAGAAAGTCTTGCCCGATTGAGTCCAATGATCTTCCATCTCAATTCTCCTTCGTGCCATTGTCAAGTGATAATGAAGTCGATACCGATCCTTAAATACCCAATGCTTGTAGTTGTTTGAAACTTTGGTGTGTGCAACACATGGGTGGCGGGATTCACGTACATGTGGCTGCGTTTGTGAGAGGCGTTTTTCAATAAGTAACACCTTATTTTATCACCAATATACCACTCTTTGATTTGCCATCCTGAGGATTGTAATTTGGTTTCAACATATACCGATAATTCAGCTTTAATTTTTTTTGGGGGGGGGGGGTGCTGAACTTTTTTTTTTGCTGTGTATAGTATAATAAATGTAAGTAGATTTAATACATGTATGTATAAATACTTTGGCACCCTGAGAATGACCCCCTTTCCTAACCCAATAGAACCTGGTATTATAGGATTAAGGGGATGGATAATGTTATCAATTATAAGTTGGTGGTCAATACACATGGTCAGTCCTGACCAACAACATACAATGTAGATTGTACTGACCACTGACCACACAAAATGCGGATTAAGCAGGATTTCAACAAATATTAATCTGACCAAGTGCTTGATCTGATTTAGCCATATCAATTAATTGTGGGTCACTGAATTGGACTCTTATTAAAATAATTAAAGGTATTTAATGAATTGTTTAACTGTCTGGTTTGCAACCCATTCATGAACATATTTTGGCGGGCAATTGAAGAATATTATTTAAAACTTCTACACATCTCACCTTATCATCATTCGATATTAATAAAGATTCTACAGCTTTCTTTAACTTCTCAACCTCTGTTTCTGTAATATATAAATATATAAATAAATAAATGTTTGATTTCCAACATTTCAGAATACTTATTTATAGACCTTCATCAAGGAAATGAAGTTCACAATCTTGCATTATAAAGTAATAAATTGTGAGAGAACTTTGGGTTTTCATTTTTCTATACAAACTTGGAAATATTTAAAGAGTGTTTTGCATTTAATTATTGTTTTCTATAAGTAGCATTTGTGTTTATAAATAAAAAGATAGGTTGCCAGGCAACGAAATATACGCCCACAGCGGCTATAATTTTTGCCGTTTGAGGGTTCACATGGTTCTACAAATTGAAACAAGGGTCTCAACTCTGGAAGTAATCTATAGAAATTGTTGAAATTTGACAGGCTTTTTCGTTTCACAAATTTAAATGATGCATATAAATTCAGAAAGATTGGATAATAACTTTTGGTGTTAAGAGCATTCACAAGGTTCAATAAAGTGAAACAAGGGCCATAACTCTAGACGTAATACACAGAAATTGCTGAAATTCAATAAGCTTTTTCGTTTCACTAATTTAATAATGCATATAGATTTCAGAAAGATATGATAATTTTTGGGGCTAGAGCGTTCACAAGGTTAAACAAAGTGAAACAAGGGCCATAACTCTAAGAGTAATAAACGGAAATTGCTGAAATTCAATATGCTTCGTCGTTTCCCCAATTTAAATATTGCATATAAATTTCACAAAGATCGGATGTTAACTTTTGGCATTAGAGTGTTCACAAGGTTCAACAAAGTGAAACAAGGGCCATAACTCTTAGACGTTATAAATGGAAATTATTGAAATTAAATAGGCTTCTTCGTTTCACTAATTTAAATAATGCATATAAATTTCAGAAAGATAGGATGATAACTTTTTGGGTTAGAGCGTTCACAAGGTTAAACAAAGTGAAACAAGGGCCATAACTCTAGAAGTAATAAACAGAAATTGCTGAAATTCAATATGCTTCTTCGTTACCCTAATTTAAATATTGCATATAAATTTCACAAAGATCGGATGTTAACTTTTGGCATTAGAGCGTTCACAAGGTTCAACAAAGTGAAACAAGGGCCATAACTCTAGACTTTATACACGGAAATTATTGAAATTAAATAGGCTTCTTCATCTCACTAATGTAAACATATATCAATTTTAAAACAATTGGATGATAACATTTGGTGTTAGAGCGTTCACAAGAAATTGTGGACAACGGACGGACGGACGGATGGGGGCGACGGCAATATACGTCCACATTTCTATGTGGGCGTATAAAAAGTTATGTACAGAAATAAGATATAAAAATTGTGTAATAAAAGCTGGTGAGGAAAAAATATAAAAGAAAGCAGGATATATTTCAGCAAGGAATACTGAATCATATCAAATCAGATCATATAATCCATCCATTTCATGCTATGTTTGTGTACCCTCAATATTTCATAATTATTTCCAATTTGGCATGCATATTACCTTCATATTTTCATATAATTTTTCAACCTGTTTAATGATAGTTAAAATTTTGAGAGGTTTGTCTATTTTTTTTCTATTTTTAAGTATCTGTGCTAATGTTTTGTTTGGTAAAATTTTAGACAATTTGAGGCCAGACCACTGTGTACATGTATGTATATAACTGCCATTTCCAAAGGGAGCAGATATCCTTTCTACTTTCAATTTTCTAACTACTTTTATTTGTTACAAGGAATTTTTTTGCGTATGGAATTGAGTATGTTAAAGGGCATATAGTTCTATTCTTTGGAACCTTAAAATAAAAGACAACAGGTCTAAACGCAAGTATTCATGTATATATATATATAAAATATATAAAGTGACTTACATTCAAAAATTTTGTTTAAATTTGTTATTTCTAATCAATCAAGTTTGTTGTATTACATGAACAGTCCAAATTTAACGGCAGTAGTTTGTGTCTGCTTTGTCCATTCTACACAGATTTTTTATTCTTAAAAATTAATTTGCTGTTTTTAATTACTTCCGCATTGTGTTGTGGTATATGTTAATCTTTGTAAATTACAAATGGCGCTTGAAACCATAGAGTACACGAGTTGTGTACTGATGTTAAAATGTGCATTGTGTCTTAAATCATGGATATTAGGATCCCATATTCAGGGATGTAGCCACGCCGGACTGCACTATTTTTTGCCGCCCAGCAAAAAGAAAAAATCGAAGAAACCTGCCCAGTCGTATTTAAACCCCTTCGTCCTTTTCTGTAAACAAACTCAGCGCTCAAAATTTACCACGGCAAACGGCAAAGCCATGGTAAAAAGCCGACGCAACCCATGTCTGCCACAGCATAATTTATTTTTGTGTGCCTTAGTAGACCCTATCATCCAAAATTGGTTTAAAGAAAGAAGTATTGGTATTTTGTTTATTTATATTTAGAAGTTGTGTAGGTCTATTCATTTTACAAATCTACGGTCTTTAAATTTGTATATTTGCTGTAAATAGGTCACCCAGACCAATTTACGGCACTCCAATGTTACAGGTTTGGATGTCGTAAATGGTGTAGAAATTTGTGAGACACAAGTCAAATAAAACAACGTCTTTTAATTATCAATATCTACCTGTTGTCATAATTTGTTGTAATCAAATAAAACACAAACACCGTTTTAAGAATCGTTTCAATTTTTAATCTCAAAGTAATAAAGTAATATTTGAAAAAAAAAAACAAAAAAAAAACCCCGAGAAACAGAGTGGGGTGGGGCAATTTTATGCTCGGTCGGTTGGTGTCAAAAAGTTTTTAGATCCCTGGCAGAGTCTCTGTATCATTGATGAAAATTAAGTAAATTTGGTAAAAATTTGAATATATACTATTCAAAAAAAGTAGGGGATATTTGATTTTTAAGTGTTATTAAAGTCACCTAATGAAACTGACGAAGAAACAAATGACAAAATGAAATGAAGTTCACATTCATCGATTTATTCCAAATGATCGTTAGACTAAGTAAGGCACAGACTGACCATTATAAGGGTAAAATGATACCCGGGGTCAAACAGCAAAGTTACCACAGCATCACAACCAAGTCAGTAACGGGTAAATCCTCCTCTGTTTGCCAAACAAGCATTGATCCGACGTGGCATACTCCTAATGAGACGTCTAAGGTCATTTTGGTCCAGATTGTCCCATTCCTGTTGCAACGCAGCAGCAAGTTCTTGGACATTGGCAGGACGTTGTTGACGTTGACGTAACCTCTGTCCAAGCATGTCCCAGACATGCTCGATGGGGGAGAGGTCGGGACTCAGTGCTGGCCAAGGTAATGTGGTGATGTTCTGTTGTTGGAGGTAACCTGTAACGATCCTGGCCCTGTGACATCTTGCGTTGTCATCCTGGAAGATGAAACGGCGGCCATGACGTCGTGCGAACGGCACAACATGGACTGCCAAGATGTTGTCCCGGTAGTACTGGCCTGTAACACGCCCTGCAACAACATGTAAAGCCGTTCTTCCAGCAACAGTGATGCCTCCCCACACCATAACAGAACCACTCCAAAATCGATCATGTCTGATGACGTTAACGTCTTGGAAGCCCTCGTTTCGACGACGCCACACCCTCCATGACTCATCTGAAAACATCACATTGCTCTAGCGTCGATTATCCCAGTGTTGACGATCCCTACACCAACGACGTCTTGCCTGAATGTGATGATCTCTCAAACAAGGGATCACGCGAGGACGTCGGGCGCGAAGGTGACCCCTATGCAGTCGATTCCGAATCGTCTGGCCACTCACTCTCACACCAGTGTCTGTTTGAAGACGAGCGCTGATCTGATTTGCTGTGATGAAACGATTTCTCAAGGCCAAGGTACGGATAAATCGAGCGTGGTCTGTCCTGTACAGATTGTGTATCACGGTATCTGGACCATAGCCTGCTTATGACAGACTGAGAAACATTCATCGTCTGCGCCACAACCGCCTGTGTTGTGCCGATCTGTAGCATGCCAAGGGCACGTAACCTTTCATTTAGGGTAAGCCGACGCATATCAAAATTTGTTTTCTGGTCACTAAAACAATTAAACTGATGTTTCCACCCTGGAATTCAATGCCACAATGACTGTAACATTCAAAGTCAGAGTCGTGCAAATCTTGGGTTGGACCCCCATGATGATCCCAAGCATCACCTGCATTCCATGCGGTAGCTATTGGTGCGTTTGGGCGTCACATGTAACTGGAAATGTTTCTTCTGTTAGGTTCTATAGTGACTTTTTTCGTAGTCATTTGCATATTTTAGTATTATGCCCCCAAAATCAAATATCCCCTACTTTTTTTGAATAGTATATAAATGGAAATTTTAATTTGCACTGAAGCAAATACAAAAGGCAGCAGATGCTCTGAAAATACACCAAGAAAAGTTGAATTTTCATAAAATACCACGCCTCCCTCCAAAATATTTTTTTTCTCACTCCGCTCGGCAGCTATTTTTTCAACCACTCAGCAAATCGTGGCTACATCCCTGCATATTTTCACAGTAAGATGAAAATGTCAATATTGATTGAAATGGACCAATTTTGAATTCCAATTCGTGTTTTTAATTTTGAGTACTATGGATAATAAGAGTTAGAGGTTTAGTCCCTTTAAAGATGGGTTCCCAGAAAAGTATTTATCGGGCGGTTATTTCCAATAAAAGTATGGCAATTTTGGTATATATGGAAAGTAGAGATATCCAATCTTACTAGAAAAATACTGTATTCCCCGAAAAACACTCATGGAGCGTATACAGGACAAAAATGTAAGGGTTCCCCTAATCAACAGCCCGACGATTAGGAACTTCTGCACGCGTGATGTCAAAGGTCACAAGCGAACATTGAGCGCTTGATGTACAAGTTGATAAACTTTATGAAGAGTTAGACGTACAATACTTTCTGAGATAAAAATGACGGAAAAAGACGCGGATAGTGGATAATCCGAGAATTTAATTAGGATTCGATATTTGTAATAAATAGTAAGCGATTAAAGACAACATCGTCTTATGTATGCAATGAATTCTCC